CCCCAAAACCCCAAAACCCCAAAACCCCAAAACCCCTTAAAAGATATTGAATGCGTAATTTGGCTAAACTGGCTAAATTTAGCTATCTTTGGCAGACAGATTTGGAGATTTAGAACTAGAGATTATAACCATGGAAGGAAAGAACAGTGAAGACCTCGCTCAAGAGCAGAATGGAGTACATAGAGAGCCTCATCCATACGTAGTCCCTGACGTGTTCAAGGATTTTAGCCAGAGAACAGTCTGCTTTGTTGGCAAGGTCAAGGAGATCAAAGAAGTTAAAGACACCAAACGGCTTGTCATCACTAGATCTGATAGTAAGCTGTATTAGCTCATTATTTAGATAAGACTGAAGTTCAAGTGAACAACTACAAAGGTGATCCAGGCATCACTGGGAAAATCATTGAGATTCGAGGAATTGTTAATAAAGATAACAAGACTTTATCTTATGGACAACATACTGTGTTCAATGATCAATTCGGTAAGTCCCCTACCGCCTATTTGGGACTCTCTCACACTTTCTTTAGACCAAGTCGGATTTGACAAAATGCTTGATTACTATCATGGGTTATGCAGACACCTAATTCTTGGAAAATAATTAATAATTTCAATAAATATATCCTGAATTGCTCACATTTTTTCATGGGCAACCTTTGGTATGCCTCTCAGGGATTTCTAGCCTCGCGAAACTCAGGTTGAATACAAAAGAGTGAAACTGTGGTTTTGTCGCTCAATAATAAGGGGTAGCTGATAATGCCATATTTAATGATTATCTTAAGATGTCAAGACTACCTGATTTTTACCATTAGTATAGCTTTTAGATATATTAGGTCATGATTTTGGCAAGAAAATAAAAAGCTAAACATGAACCTGAACTTGTCTTAACGGAATGAATTTACTCCCTGCTTTGATACTTTCTGGTTCAAAAGAGATGATTTAGGGAATCCTCATGAGTTGTGCTGATTTAAAATCAAATATTATTCCAATATAAATTATACTTCGCTATATTTTAAGCCCAAGAGTTAGATGGAAATGACCAGTTCAATAGATATTTTCAATAAGTAAAAATAATTAAGGGGTTTTGGGGTTTTGGGGTTTTGGGGTTTTGGGG